GGGGTACCTCTCCAACACTAAAGGGACACAACAGAATACTGGAGAGAAGAGATATAACAACTATGAGTAAAGACGAAAAAGTGGCTGGACGTAATTTTTCAATTTTTACCAGGTCAGTAGTAAACAACATATTTCCTATTTTGCGAGTGTGGAACGCAATAATTTACGGATCTTGAATACTTTTTAACGAAAAGGAGTGAACCGTAAGTGGATATGAAGGAGCTCTTATGGCGAAAGAGGTATAGATTTTATGCTGAGTGCACACCCAGGCATCACGCAGGATGTAGGAACGCTTGATAAAGTACAATGCAGGGACCATAGAATAGTAAGGCCTCGAATTCGCCTAGATTTGAAGAAGAAAACGACAAAAACTGATACGCAAGAAGCCAATCAATGAGCTAGCACTGAGGGGGAAAGTACAGGAATTCAGAGTCTCGCTTCAGAACAGATACTCGGATCTTATCGAGTAAACCGACCTTAGCGTTATCCGCAATGAATGCTATTCTGACGAGTATCATTACGGAGTGTGCAGTGAAGTTGGAGGTACGGTAGTTAGACAGGACACTGGCAAGTTGTCCCAGGAGACGGAGAACCTCATTAACAAACGTCAAAGCAAGAACGCCTCAAACACAACAGACATAGAACTGGCAGCGCTTTCGAAGTTGATTAATAAGCGTAAGGTATTCGTAACGAGCGTCTCTCATAATCATATGGTGGTTTTGGGACGTTAAACCCACATATCAAGGTATCTGATGTAACGCATGTAGCGTGTAGGCCGGGTACCTGTATCTTAGGTATAGCGCATCCACGACAGGACAGAGAAGAAGACACATTCTCAAATCATGCAAGCACTGGCAAGAATTCACTGGCAAATCATACAAGCTCTGGCAAGCACTGGCCAGTACTAGCAAGCATTATCAAATCATGACTAGTAATTTGCCACTAACCCTCAAAAGGAAGGTATATAACAGCTGCATCTTGCCAGTACTCACATACGAAGCAGAAACCTCGAGGATTACAAAGAGGGTTCAGCTTAAATTGAGGACGACGCAGCGAGTGATTGAAAGCAAATTTATAGGTGTAACCTTGAGAGACAAGAAGAGAGTAAAGTGGATCAGGAAACAAACCGGGGTTAAGGATATTATAAGTTAAATCAAGAAGAAGAAATAGACGTGGGCCGGGCATGTAGCGCGTATGCAGAAAAACGCTGGGCATTAAGGATAACGGACTGGATTCTCAAAGAAGGCAAGTGGGTTTGGGGGAGATAGAAAGTTGGGTGTGCAGATGAGATTAGGAAGTTTGCGGGAGTAAAGTGCTAGCAGCAAGCACAGGACCAAGTTGACTGGCGGAACATGGGAGAGGCCTTTGTGTAGCACTGAACGTAGTCAGGCTGATGATAATTATTATTATGATGATGATCCGATGTGAGAAGATATACCATGGAGTGAATTTAACATGCTCTAAAGAATGGAGGAAATGTCAACGTGGTGAACAGGAAACTTGGGATACGCAAAACCAGATGTATGAACTGGGGGCAAGGAAGGCAAAGTACCTACTAATATGGATAGGTTAGTTAAAATAGCTGAGGAGTTTTACATAGATTTGTACAGTAGCTGGGACAACCATGACCATAATGTGAGAAATAGCAGTAACCCAGATGACATCGCACGATTAATGACAGAAGAAGTGAGGAAAGTATTGGAGGTAATGCGAAGAGGCGATGCTGCTGGTGAGGATCAGGTAACACCAGATCTGCTGAAAGACGGAGGACAGATTGTATTAGAAAAACTAGCCACCCTGTTTACAAAGTGTCTCCTGACGGGAAGAGTACCATAATCTTGGAAGAATGCTAGCATCTGCTTAATACATAAGAAAGGAGATACAAGGACTTGAAGAATTACAGGTCGATCAGCTTGGTCTCCGCCGTATGCAAGCTATTTACAAAAGTAATTGCTAACAGAATTAAGACAACATTAGAGTTCAATCAGTGCAAGGATCAAGCAGGATTTCGTACAGGCTACTCAACTGTAGACCATGCTCATACTATCAATTAGGTGATAGAGGAATGCTCAGAGTATGCCCAACCACTATACATAGCGTTCATAGATTACGAGAAGACATTTGATTCAGTAGAGATATCAGCAGTCATGCAGACACGGCGGATTCAGGGTGTCGACGAAATACATAAAAAAACATCCTAGGGGAAATCTACAAAGGGTCAACTGCCACCATAGTGTTCTATAAAGTAAGTGACAGTATACCAAAAAAGAAGGTTGTAAGATGAGAGGATAAGGGCTTCCTCATGCCATTTACCATGTGTTTGCAAGAGTGTTGGCTATATAATGATTCATAAATATATACAGATATGTGCCTCACCGTATTGTATGCTTCGTGCTCTCTTGATAGATATTTGGCACATACTTTCATTTTCAAGATTGCATGAATATATAATGAAGTTGTTGGGATGGAAAGATCCGTATAAATGTGCAGACAACTGGACCTTTTGTTAACATGGCCTTTAAAAACATGTGTTCCGGCTGTGTTTACCAAGATGCTATGCACTCCCGAGGAGGGCTTGCACATATTGTGAAGAAAATATTCGTTGCCACGAAGAATCCAGCTTCAACACTTCGCATGCCCTCCTGTAACTGTGAAAAAGACTGCCTCCCCCCTCCCCCGCTTCGCCTACGCACACTCCTATAAAAAGCATTGTGCTTGAATGAAGTGTTTATTTGCTATACAAAGTATATCTGTGGACAGATCTCTTGGCAGGGAAGAAGGGGCAGTGAGGCGAACCGCAAACAAAGGAGGCTGCCCCTGAAAAAAAAAAGGGGGGGGGGCAAAGCCTGTTGGGAAGGGCGTTTAAGCTCCATAGCGAGAAAACTGGGGAGGAGCGAAAGATAGTCTTTTGAGAGATATCTCTTTGATGAGGCACTAACGCTGTGCCAAGCCTGAAAACGAGCATGTAGGGAAAAGTGTTCCCTCTCTACTAACGTCGCTGAAAACTGCGTCGAAACGCAGCTTAAGCTATGGTGATTCTTCTTTTTTCCAACATGCTTGATTTAAGTTCCTTACGGCATTTAAGAAAGGGTGCGCTGGCTCCACTAACGTCACCGGCTATTTGTTGGGCTAACTGTGGCCTTTTTAATGTTTAGTGGACTGGCAGTGAGTTGTGCGATTTGCCCACTGTGGTGCATACCAGTTTTTATGATGGACCGTGACTACATGACACACCGTAGTGACAGGAGATGCAGACAAGCCGAGAGCATGTAAGGTGCTTGCAACCTAAAACATCCAACAGCCTCGTCCACTTCCGTATAGGATGCACGGGGAAAATAAAATAACAAGCCTATTCTAAAAAAAGAAGCAATGTCATGTACTCTGAACGGTATCTAAGTGAGGATTGTCCTGCTTTTGGACTATTAGCAACATTCAACCATGTGTCGTGGGAATGTGAATCCATCGGCTCCGCCTTCAGTGAGGACAGGTGGGCAGCACTTACGCAGACCCGAACCTAACTATCAAACCCTGCAGAGAGCCCGTGAACGGGCCGCCAAGCTCGGCTTGACGATCCATACGTAGGATTAGCCGGTTGGCGCGGGGTTTCCCGTGCATATTCTCCGGACCAAAATAAAGTTAATCAATGAATCAATCAATCAATAAATCAATCAATCTATCTATCAAACATGCAAAACAGTCTAAACAGTGTTGACATAGACTTTCTTTTCTGCCTTTGTGACTCGAATGTGGTCAAATGCGAAACCTTCGCTCGTGAAAGCTATGCTGATAACACTTGATGCAATAATACATGTTGAGTAGCTCTTCTCCTCGAGTTTCCTTTTCATTGCTGCAGAAAGTTGTCAGCGTGTGTGACATACTGCAAGTGTTTAGCAGGACAACAGGGAACGTATTCACCAAGTAGCATTTAGTCAGTCGAAGAGAATGTACACTTTACATTTCTACTGCAAGGAATGCTACAGTATGACGTGTTCAGTACATCTTATATGGAAGTTGGTGTTTCAAGTGTACACAGGACCACACCAATGACACCTGTTTTTAGCACTATCTTAATTTGCTTTTATCATTTCTGCAGTTCACACACTTTATGCAGAAGTCTTCTGAAAGCTCTCTGCACCATCTGTAGGCTCATGCTCATAGTCCAAGAATCTTGGCTGCAGAATAAATGGTGTTGAGTGCCGTCAGTTTACTAACCATCGGAGCGGGTATCTCTGGATGTCCAAACGAGCGCAGTTCCGCAGGACGTGTTGGTGGGGTACTTCAAGTTGATATGTCTTAAAGTGTGCAACAATTCTTTGTATTTCTGCTTTGCATTATAACCGTCTTTTGGTACTCTCTGTTCTTAAACGTCATGCTGTATTGATCAACGCATGTTGCCAGTATTATCAAAATATTAGTGTTTATGTATTGATGAAAACTGGTTGACACAAGTGAAAAAAGTAAATAATGATTTGGTTTCCTCCTGAATTCGTGTATAAGGCCCTTCCCCTCCATTATGATTTGTTTCACTCATGTGAATTTTTTTCACTCATGTGATTCAGACACGCACAGGAGGGTAAATTTCGCGACAATTGTGATCAGCTGGGATTCGTTATCGCGCACCTATATCTGAGTGCGCGGCTGCTTCTGCATTTAGCCCCCGTCTAAGTGCGGCCGCCTTGGCAGGAATTGAGCTGTCGACCTTGGCAGCGCAGCAGCTTAAAGCCTGCGTATTCAAGGACGGCCTTTCACTCAACGTTCCACTGGCTTCACCTCGACCCGATAAAGCCGATGTCCACGCCGGCCCTCAGCAGAAGGGGTCACTGCTTATAAATGATTGATAACTTGTGGCAATTCTTGAAAAATGCAGCGCCTTTTGAGTCAACTTCAAGTCGAGTTTGTTTTGGAAGGTACAACGGCGGGTCACGTGAAATTATGTGGCTTATACATTTTTACGAAGACCCCTTGCTTGGCGCCAGAGTAACCACACCGGTAACTATAAATTGAGCTATAACTGACAGCTCATACTGCCGTTTTTATAATGAAATTTCCCATCAAGTGTACTCTCACTATTGCAATTTTGTACTGGCAATGCGAATTTGGCATCTGCGATACTTGTGATGACACTTGACAGTTTGTCCTGCGCTCCGTTGGCCTTCGGCAGATCACTTGCTTCTTCCTTATCCGCCTGAACCCGCCGAGGCTCGAAGATGAGCTTGTCCAGTCTGCCTGTGGGTGCCTCGCAAAATATGAACAGCAGGTAACTCAGGAGGTAGCTCCAAACGAGAATATTGAAGAAAAAGGACACCTGCGAGAAAACAGAGAGTCGAAGACGGTATTACTACCGACTTTAACTATAGCATTGACAGTGTAACTGCTTCAGCTTGTTAAACAAGTTGCCACATCGTGGAGCTTGTTTCCAAAATAGTGGAAGCGGGAGGCCACAGCAACCTAACGTTGTGTCCTTATTTGTGTTATAAGGTGTAGCGTCTTGGTTTAGTGATTGAAGGAAGAGAATTTCCGAGGACTCATTCCTTTTTCTGACAAAACTTTAATGAAAACCAGCTGTTCAATGTACAGGGCTTCACAGCATTTGCTAGACGCGCTTAAAAACGCCGCCGACGGGCGCATCATTGAGCGAGAAGACCTGTACGATCCGGCGATTAACGAAAGCAGCCGCGTCTCAACTAAAGAACACTTCGAAGAGCTTGAGTAGCAGCGCGTGAAAGCGCGTCTATTTCACATTTAAAATGTTTCACGTGCCTTCGCTTTTTCTCGGAAGGAAAAACCAGGCGAATTTCAGCCCAACATAACAGCTTCATTCTGGTGTCATTTGAGTCGGTCTACAAATTAATGTCAATATTTTACCGATTTGAGCAAGAATGAAAAGGCTGCTTATTTAAAGTTTTAATTGGTGCTTAGTCATGAAAATATTCTGGTTGTATGTGCACGCTACCATCAATAATGTACAAGAGTTACAACTTTTCTAGAGCACACGATTAAAAAAAAAGAAACCCTCGTCCGAGTTAGCTGGGAAACCCTGTATATGCAACTCGTCATTCGTGGATGGATATAGATTTCAACGAACGTGAAAATTTTGGGTGTTACTACTCACCACGAAGAAATGGGTGTAGTACACCCGCTCTCGAGAGATGTGCAGCCAGAGTTGCATGAAGGGCAGATGGATGATGTACACGCCGAAGGTCAGTCTGCTGAGAGGCGTGAAGGCGCTCCACGAAAGGAATGTGTTCAGAAAACCTGCATGGCCGCAAAAGAAAAGAAAGCGAAGAATTTGTGGGGAACAGATTGCTTTGCGTTTTTGGATGAAGATGGCAAAATGCACCGACATGCTTGCGCTGTTTAGGCTCACAGCCTTCAAAATTTTATTGATCATTGTTTTTTTTGTATCATGATAGAAAATATGAGTAGCTGGTTTGACATTACGAACGGTGGAGCAGTGCAAAAAACGAGTGAAGAAGGAAGGAAAACATTGGTATAGTATACCCTTCACAGGGGAAAGGGAAAGGGGGGATTAGAAGTAGAATAAAAAGAGAGAGGGGAGCACACAAACGACGCCATGACATTGTTATGCAATATATCGCATCATTATCAGCCCACCGCCCCTCGCGCAAGTCCATTGTCCTTAAGCGTTTTAACAATGCTTTCGTTAGCTTAATTCTCGGTGACTTTGGATGCAGAAACACAGAGGCAGTCTGTAAACATGTGGGTTATCGCCAGTTTGTGTTGAATCACGCCCGCTGCTGGACAGTTCGGTATAGGCGTTACCACCAAACGAACGGCCTAGCAGCAGATTTCTTTCTCGCATGCGTAAAATCTGGCCATGGCTTGAACTTGACGACGAGTGCTAATGCGGGCATTGAGGTTGCCGTATAGTCGACAACACTCTCGCTCAGTAGTTGTTAGTACCATTCTTTTGAAGCCAACAACAGTGAAAAAGAGAGGAACGAATTCGATTCGTCTTAATTTATTTCCGCAATTGGTAAAGAAAGCCTGCAAATGTAGCATAAAATAGCGAGTGAGATTGATTCACTTGCTTTACAAATAATAAAAGAAAACAATAATAGAATTAGATGATCCCACGTCTTGTGGGAATCGGGGTTTATCGGGAACGTCAACTGCACTGACGTTTAAAGGGTAACTAGTATAGCCTCAGGTAATGTTAGAACTCACGTTAGGGCCCAGACGCCAGTATTGTCGAAACGAAGTCCACTTTACGATGCGATGATGTGAATATGATATACGTAGTTTTTGTTAGTGTATTCATCTGAGGTCGAGTGATGCTTCAATATCGCTTGCTCAATCACAGGAATACAAATGTGATGCTTACTACAATGCTACTTGTATAAAAGTGGAGTCAGCATTGAAATCACAATTTACGTTAACCATATATACATGACGCCCGCTTGATAGGAATAAGTATGTATTGCGGCTTTGTTATAAAATTAGATAACTGGCACTGTAACCATAGTAGACGTCGCGGTGACATTACACCTAATAAAGTTTTTTTTCCAAATCAGCTTCAAGAGCCCGCGTGGCTCTGTGGTAGAATACCTGAACGCCACGCAGAGTGCTTGCGTTCCATTCCTGCTCGGATCCTGATTTTGATTCTTTATATTCGTCTGGCAACTCTAGTAAACGCTGCCGGTATCTCTTAATGTTCTTGCTTTTAAATTACTAAAACTGTCGATCTCCTGGGGCGCATACCCGCATACCGTGGGCCTTGCATGGGTATACTAAGGGTATATGCGCCACACGTTTCTGGAGGAAAACGTTTGACGCTGTACGCGAAGGTATTTTCACCTTATACGTGTTATATGACCAGATAGTGATGGTCATCGAATCCTCTTAGCCTCTTATACCAGTTTTCGTTCACATTAATTTGAATAGGCAATCGCGAGCGCACCCAGACGTTAGATAGGTATACAGATATAAAAACTCAAAGTGCTCGAGGTCCATAAAAAATGCTTCGCCTTTAAAAGTGACGCATGCACATTCTACACACTGTGGGAACTGGTACACGCGAGTCTTCGATGAGCAAAGTTGGCTGAATAGCGCATCTCAAGAGACGCGCTCCAGATGTAATAGACGAACGTGTCTATCAGCCATTCGTACCCTGCAATGCTGAGAAAGATGTCTTTCACTTAGCGTTGTAGAACGTCGTGTATAACAAGGCACAATGCTTTTTGTATTCTGTAAAAACACGCTACGCACAGCGCTGCATTATCACGAGAGTAAATATGCCAAATGAGGAAGTATATGTATGTTGTTTACAGCGCGCTTAACATCAGATTGTTCAATGTCACAGCCTTACAATGTTATGAACACGGTGGCAATTGAAACAGATAGCAAAAGCTGCTCCCGGATAACTATAGAAAAAATGGAGTGACGTTCTCTCCATTTAGGGAGGAACGGCGATGTCCCCAATGTTCGTCTTTAAATAGAGAAACGTTGCTCCCTCATCCACGCAGAAACACGTTCCTCATGAAAATCAACCCCGACGAAACGAGTACACAGTAAAAATTTTTACACCCAAAAGGGTGTAAAAAGGGTGCTTTTACAAGAAAGCACCCTTTGCAACACCCTTTAACACATAAATGGTCGATTGAAAAAAAGCACCCATTTGTTTGGGTGCTTGCCTCGATAGCACCCTAAAATAGGCTCTAAGGGTGCTTTTGTGCCTGAGAAGGGTGTAGGTGACGATTCATCAGATGGAATATGCAGCATAAGAAGAACACATAATTATAATATTTGGGATTTTACGTCTCAAAAACCTCGATATGATTATGAGGGTCGTCGTAGTGGAAAGCTTTAGAGATTTTGACCATTTGGTGTTCTTTAATGGGCGCTGATATCGCACAGTGCACAGGCTTCTACCTTTTCGCCTCCATCTGAATTCGACTGCCACGGCCGGCATCGAACCCATGACCTTCGGATTGGCGGCCGAGCAGCGTAGCTACTGCACGAATATGTGGACCTTGCGTTAAATGACGGCCTAGACTTAGAATGTGTGAAGGTGCTCTCCGAATACAGCAGAATGCCAGCAGAAGCAAATCGCGTTTCATCTATAATGGCAATTAACTGCAATCCACGTTATGAAAGCTCACCTTAGCGTTGGTTATAAGCTACATGTTTGCTGTGGATTATATACACGAATATAATGTTCGCCCGAGTATATGTGTGTGTGCGTGAGCCTGCACATGATGTCGCGTGTAAGCGCGATTGTGTGTACACCCGTGCATGTGTGCGTGCGCGTGTATGTGCGAGTCCGTGCTTGTGTTAAGCGTGCCTGTGCACATGTGTACGCCCATGCATGCGTGCGTTTACGGTCGCGTGTGTGTGTTGCCGTATGTGTGTATACGTGTATGTGTGTGCGCCTGTGAATAAGTATGCGTGTGTATCAGCCCGTGCGCCCTCAAATTTCGTGTGTGTGTGCGGGGGGGGGGGCACTGTTTCTTAGTGTTTAAGGTCCCACACCTGTTCAGACTGGGAGTCTATATGGGAGGTGGCTTAAGAAATGGCGGTGGTCAAGGCACTGTACACTGACAATATATTCAGTACATGGAAAACAGCTGCACATTTTCGTACCTCATCATTGCTTACGAACTTGCTGTGGTAGCTGATTAGGTCCGCTGAGGCGCTTCTACGCTCGAAAACGTGGGTTATGACCAATTCACACGGAAAGCTGTCACTGCACTTATGCACAACCATCGTTTATATTAACAACGTTTAACAAGAACGTGCCCTGCATTTGCTACAGGTGCTTAGCTAGCTCATTGGGCAACCATATGGAATTATTTGCTGATCATGTGGTCAGCAAAACGTTTGTTATAACAACCTCGGCACGTTTCGTGGTGCATGACAAGCCTTCTAAACATCCGCTACTGCGGATTAGTTTGTTCCAGCTTCGACTACGCATTCAGTGTTTGCGGCACCATACGCGGAATTGCCTGACACAGACAATGCACAAAGAAATTTCTCTGGAAAAAGGTGTAGCGATGCTCTCCCGCTAATGCCACCGAGGACGAAATAATTATTGTTTCTGGCCATTCCATGGTGCACTTTGTTTTCCGCAAGTTTTGCTTCACTATTTTTCGCCCACTGCAATCGCATTCCGTCAAAATACTCAAAGAACCCGAGGCTGGTAAATAACCTGCGTCGCTGTGCGACTGGCTGGAAGGAGAGTTGCCGTTTACAAGGAGTCATTCCGCGTTGAACGGCCGTCCGCCGTATGCGCCATAGCGTTTGCCTTTCGGCGCCGTCTTGGCGGGTTTGCCGCTCCCCCCCCCCCCCCCTGTTCACCCCGGCCAGCGTTGGTCCCACAAAGGCAGCGTAGATAAGCGAATAGTTGCGTCACCGAGCACCTGCGCCGACAGCTGCGGCGCCGCCGCCAGTGCCTCCTCCTTCTCTCTCTCAGCGTTGCCCTCTCAGTCTCATCAGTCTTTCAAATGCGTTGCGTTGGTCGGAGGTCTTGGTCGCTGTGTGTGTTCTAGCTAACAGGCGCATATTAAATGGTGGTCACGCATGACACCGTGTTCGAAGTGACGCTCGGATTAAGGAATATTCATGGAGTGGCGGACACGGACAACGTGGGCCTGTTAATGGTGAGTGTACTGTTTTCGTAGGTAGTAATCATACAGCGCTAGCTGGGCGCCTGCAGCAGCTCTGCCGAAGTAGGCTGCCAGCCATTTACAACAGCATGCGTTCGCGGGCCTGTTGCAGATGCCCGATTATACGTGTGACTTAACGAGTTCACACTCTATGCGCGATGTTGTGTAAGTGCCTGCATCACTCATACAGTGAGTGATGTGATCACTTAACAAGGGCGGGATTAGTTGCTGATCGCACATTGTCTCTACACTGCACAAAGTGATTGATATTGTTTTAAGATGTGCTTTGGGCTACATCGCTACATCGTAATAACATTTCTATTAATACTCAAATGTGCAACGTGCTTCTGTAGGTGTAAGCGTAAAAAAAGAAAGAAAAAGAAAAAAATTATGTACAGAGGCCCACTGTACGAAATGGCTTTTTTTTTGCTTAAAGACGGTGTAGTTGGAGGTGCTGATATGCCGCGATGCTCCGAGCACGTGCGCCTCGGTCTTTTAAGCTATTTAGGACAAGTGTCACCAGCAACAGGGAAAGATCTAGCAGACTTCCAAAGGCGCGTTGTTGTGGCCATCGCCGTGCGTTGTTTTCCCCCGTTTCTGTTTGCTGCTTTCGTGCTTTGCCTTCATCTG